GAGACAATTAAGGACACATGAGAAAAATTATCCAACTCATGATCTAGAACTAGCCGCCATCGTTTTTGCACTCAAAATATGGAGACATTATGTGTATGGTGGTAAGTTTGAAATTTTTAGTGATCATAAAAGTCTTAAATACTTGTTTGATCAAAAAGAGTTAAATATGAGACAGAGAAGATGGATGGAATTTTTGAAAGATTATGATTTTGAATTACATTACCATCCAGGAAAGGCAAATGTAGTAGCAGACGCTTTAAGCGAGAAAATCATTACATGTCTCTTCCCTTATGATTCATGAGATGAGTCTGCTAGAAGAGTTCGAAACATGAATTTATCAATTACCATGAACCCCGATAGAATAAAATTAAACTTAACTCAGATTACTAGTGGATTACAAAGACAAATTCAAGAGGCTCAAGTAGTTGATGAATTTATTCAAAAGAAAAAGAAGTTGATAGGACAAAAGAATGGAGAAAATTTTGGCATAGATAAAGCGAGAATTTTAAGATTTAGTGATAGAATATGTGTGCCTAATAATGTAGAGATTAGAAAACTAATTTTAGATGAAGCACATAAGAGTAAATTGAGCATACATCCAGAGCACAACAAAAATGTATCAAGATCTTAAGAAAATATTTTGGTGGCCTAAAATGAAGAAGCAAGTGGCACAATATGTAACATCATGCTTAGTTTGTCAAAAAGCTAAGATAGAACATCAAAGGCCTGCAGGAATGCTACAATCTTTAGATATACCCGAGTGGAAATGGGATAGTATTGCAATGGACTTTATAGTTGGTTTACCACGAACAATTCAAAAATTTGATTCCATATGGGTTATCGTGGATAGGTTGACAAAGTCTGCTCATTTTCTACCCATTAACATCAGGTATTCATTGGATAAACTGACTGAATTGTACATAAAAGAAATTGTGAGATTACATGGAGTTCCATCTAGTATTATTTCGATCGAGATCCTAGGTTTACTTCTAAATTTTGGGGAAGCCTACATCAAGCCTTAGGAACTAAGCTTCATCTTAGCTCGACTTATCATCCTCAAACCGATGGACAATCGAAAGAACCATTCGAGTCCTTGGAAGATTTGTTGAGAGCATGTGTGTTAGAAGATTCTGGTAGCTGGGATCGATACTTATCATTAATTGAATTTACTTATAACAACGAGTTTCCATTCTAGCATAGGTATGGCACCCTAAGAAGCATTGTATGGGAGAAAATGTAGGACACCTTTATGTTGGTTTGAGACTGGAGAAAATTTAATCTTAGGTCCTGACATGATTCAACAAACCACGGAGAAAATTAAGATGATTAGGGAAAAATTAAGAACAACTCAAAGTCGACAGAAAAGCTATGCTGACAAGAGAAGACGACCCCTTGAATTCCAAGAAGGTGAACATGTATTCTTGAAAGTAACACCGACAACCTGGAGTTGGTAGAGTAATGAAAGCCAAGAAACTCACTCCTCGATTTATTGGTCCCTATCAAATTCTTAGAAAAATAGGTCCTATTGCTTATCAAATTTCCTTACCCCCTTTTCTTTCTAATCTTCATAATGTGTTTCATGTGTCTCAATTAAGAAAATATATTTCGACCCTTCTCATGTAATAATGCCGAGATACGAGTACAATTAAAGGATAACCTTACATTTGAAACAATGCCTGTACAGATTATGAGATATGAAGATCAAACAACTGAGGGAAAGACAAATCCCACTAGTGAAGGTTGTTTGGAATGAAAGTACTGGAGACGCTACATGGGAATTAGAAAAGAAAATCAGGGAAAGTTACCCCTATTTATTTTAGTCGCTAAAAATTTCGAGGACGAAATTTCTGTAAGTATGGGAGAAATGTAACATCTCAATTAATGTAAAAGATAAACGTTATCTTATCCTAAAAGATAAACATTATCAAAATCATAATTACTGCATTTATGATTACATAATTAAATAAATAAAAAGAAAAAAAAATTTACTATAAAAAGGGTAGGGGGAAGGATCGAGAGGGAGAAAGAGAAAGGGAAGAGAGAGAAAGAAGAAAGAGAGAGAGAAGAGAGAGAAAGAAGGAGAGAGAAAGAAGAAAAGAGAGAAAGAAGAAGAGAGAGAGGAAGAGAGAGAAAGAAGGAGAGAGAAAGGAAGAGAGAGAAAGAGAAAGAAAGAGAGAGGGAAGAAGAGAAAGAAGAGAAAAAAAATTGTCTCTACAAAAATTTTGGTACCTCATACGTGACTCTTAAGGTAGGGGAGGAGAATATTATCATTAAATCTATTTTATTTTGCTTATAGTTGTGGAGTGAGGTGTCCCTAACCTCATTCTATTTATTTAGTTATTTGTTTATTTATCTCTAACTACGTAATGGTCTTATCTTATGTTTGTTTAATTATCTCCAGTTATGTACTGGTCCTTTTTGTTTATTTTACTTTATCTCCAGTTATGTACTCGGTCCTATTTTATTTTATCTCCAGTTATGTACTCGGTCCTATTTTATTTTATCTCCAGTTATGCACTTGGTCCTATTTTAATTATCTCCAGTTATGTATCGGTCCTTTTTATTTATTTTATTTTATCTTCGATCTTGCACTTGGTCCTATTTTAATTATCTCCGAGTTACGTACTTGGTCTTGTTTGTTTACTTTATTTTATCTCTAGTAATGCAATGATCCTATTTATTAGTCTATAGTTATATTAATCAATTACAATAATATCTATTTGTGAAGATTTGATGATATTGTAGATGGAGGTTGGACCTTGGGGATTTAAATGAGTAAATATCATTGTGAGCATGATTAAAATTGAGCTCATTTATCCCGACTAGTCACTACAATTTAAATCTTCATAAAATAGAATGTGTTGAGAAAGTTGAAACATATATATCTATATATTATAATATTGTATTATTGTAATTGATAAATGTTCTCACTCCCTATTGTGATCTTTTGTGCATGTTTTATTTAAACACCAACTTAAGTAGATGGAGGCGCCAAATATTCCAAATCCCTTTTCGCAAGCATCACTGCCTTCTTTCCAGGAACTACTTGGAACACGAATGTTATAGACAACTCGGTTGCTTTTAGAGGGATAGGATTTTCAATAATAACATTTGTATCCGATATGGGAAATCCCATTATGTTAGATGGGCCAATAGTAGTTACTTTTTTTATGCCTCCTACTTTTTTCAAAACCCCTTAATCAGTTTGTTTCCACCGCCAATGTAGATACTTGTAAAATTGTAGAAAAAGAAAATAGAAGGAATCAAAGATAAAATTCCTTCTTCTTTTGTATATCTTATATAGTGATGTAAATTACTTTTACATATATGTAATATTTTTTGACCTCCTACTCTTATACAAATAATAATAATAATAAAAAAAAAAACGTCACAAATATATTATAATATTATCATTTAAATTATAAAAATTAATAAATTAAATTTAAATTATTAATTATAATTAATTATTTTAACAAATAAATATAATAAAATTTTCAATTTATCTAATAAAAATATTAATTAATAAATAAAAACTTAAAAATTATTTATATAATTAAAAATATATTTTTAAAATAAAAACTTAAAAACTATTTATATAATTAAAAATATATTTTTAAAATATACATATAAAAAATTTACTGGTGGATTAGCAAATTAACTAAGAAGGTAAACTAGGGTTTGTAGTCAATTTTTACTAAGATTGATCAACTCATTCTGCCTTATTTTTAGTAGGTTAGAGAAGATATGGATTGATCCATTCCATCATTCTAACATAAGGATATGAATGAAATGTGATTCTATCTTTGAACCGTAGTGACAAGTATTGTTATCTAACTTAAGAAGATATCCTTTGAAGTTGACGTAGAACAAAAAAGATAAATACTTGTAAAAAAATATTTAATGTTTAAGTCCATGAAATTTTTTTTAAGAAATAAACAATAAATAGAGAAATACATAACCTTTTGAAGTAATAGTGATCTAACCATCAGGATTCAAGGATATTTTTACTGAGATATATTAGATGGTTTGAAATACTGGTTTGAATATAATGAATATTTACCCATAAATCTTGGATCATCCGAATTATTTAAATATTTATATTATCCCCAAATTTTTGGGATCATTAATTAAGTTGAAAAAAAATATATTGTAATTTAAATTGAAATAAGTTTTTTTTTTAATTAGTTTATCTCACGTATCAAATAGATTTAGATTTGTTCGCCCATAAACTTTTATCCTACCCTTTAAAAAAAATGATTTTAAATTAATTAAAAAACATTTTTTTTATTAAATACATACTTTTCAATGTCTATATATTGCTATATCTAAAAGGAAATTTTTATGTGGTTTAAATTTTAATGTAAAACATGTTTAATTTGGTCTTTTAGATATGTTTAGAGTATTCTCAAATTTATATGAAGAAATGATATTAAAAATAAGTTACAAATTAAGAAAAAAACATTAAAAAGTGTATTATGCGTGTTAAAAGAAAAAGAAAATAAGGACAATGTGACATAATATATTTTTTAAAAATATATTATTTATGGGAATTCAAAATTACCGTTAATTTTCTGAATTTTAGCAATTAGTTGGGTCAGCAAAATTTGGCACCATCCATCATTTAGATATAAATGATAATATCAATTGATATATATATACATGTTTAATTTCAATCAATAGAAATAAATTTGATTATTCAGTTACACAGTGCTTCTTCAATTTTAAAATATTTTGAATATAATATTTTTTAAAATATAAAGTTTGTAAAGTTTAAAATTATATTAATTATTTTTGTATCAATTATATCATTATTTTTTAATTATACTTAAGAATATTTTAATTAAAAAGAAATTATTAAGATGATATAGGTATAAATAAAAAAATTTCTCTTTTAATTTATATAACCTAATTTTAAACGTTAAATGTATATATATATATATATATATATATATATATATATATATAATATAAAATTTGACATATATAAAAATTGAGAAAAATTAACAAAAATAACTCCAAACTTCCTTTCTCTCCCATGTCTTAGAATCCCAACTATGATATATACCATCTTCTCTTGCAGACCAATAAACAGTGTTATGTCCTTTCTCCAAACCAGGAATATAGACGCTGAAATCGGAGCACTTGTTCCATTTCAATTCACCAGTGTCATCATCCATGCTCACCAAGCTTGTGTAAGGATTTCCCTGCCGAATCTCCACTTGATCCTTCTGGAAATCCGCAAAGAAGAACAACTTCTTTGGGCTTCGAGGCAAATCATTCGAAACCGATACGAACACTATGTTTATGTTGTCTGCAGAAATATTTGTCTCCTTTTGCAGACCACCAGAATCCACGCTTCTGGATTCCAGACACTCCCCACACACTGAACTGTTCAAACTCAAACAAACTCCAACCAACACCAAAATCCAACCTTTCATTGAATTTGACATTTTAGTTTCAAGTTTTTGGATACTCTCTCCCACTTTCCATTCTTATATATATGCACAATCAGGGACCATAAATTGCATCATTTAATTAATTTATCACTATATTTTTTTTCAAAACTCAAATTTAATATATTTATGTTTTCTTTATATATAACTAAAATTCATATAATATATATGTCTTAAATATACTAAAATATTGAATATTTCATCGTCTTGTTATAACTCTTTTTTTTTAATTTATATTATAATTAATATTAGTGTTTTTAAATTGGTTTTATTATTTTAATATATTTTATCTAAAAGGCTAGTAATAATTTATTAGTTTATCTTTATAATAAATATAATTAAAAATCAAAATATAGTTAACAAGAAGATAATTATATATATAAATTTGTTTTTAAAAATGGATCATTAAAAAGAATATAAAAAATATTAAGAAACAAATAATTTTAAAAAAAATAATAATTGAATCAATCACGTGTATTTAAAAAAAATATTTAAATAGAATTATCGTCCATTTATTTACCTAATTAAATATATTTATTGTTCATGTTATCGAAATTAAAATACATAAAATAATTATCTTTTCTCTTTTCATTTTTTTCCTCTGTTCACTCTTTTATTTTTATTTTTCATTGGTTGATACAATTTTTATGAATGTAATCATGTACAAATTATAATTCATTTAAAGTTACATTAAATTAGTATTTTATTTTTATTTTTTAAAAGTAAAAATATACTTGATACAACCTTAAATTTTATAAACATGATTCTTTTAAAATAAAAATTATGTATTAAAACTTTAAATGTCATGTATTTTAAAATAGAGAAATACTAAATATCATTTGAAGATAATTAATGGTAGGTTCAGTTTTTTTTTTCCAATATTTTTTAAAGGATGTTAACTAGTGCCCAAAACAATAAATGATGTTAATTATTAACTAATCCAGTTTAAGATTGTTGTAGATGTGTTAATAACAATAATAAATATATTACTTCTTGAACTAACTTTAATAGAATATTTGGGTGCTAAGTAGTGGATTTGAATCCTCATTAAAAAAAAAAACTAAGATTAAGTATTAACCAACAGAAACATAAACAGAAAAGAAGTAAGTGAAATAAAGGAAGGATTAAAGATGAAGAACATATGATTCATTTGTATCAGAGAATTGAAAGTTTGATTATTGAATATATATAAGTAAATCTGTTTTTTGACAGTTTATTACATTAAATTTATTCATAAATCATGTTTGAAATATGTTGTTAACAAGGACCCCAATCTTCCCTTTTATCCCAGATCTTATTATCCCAGCTATGATATAATCCATCTTCTCTTGCAGACCAAAAAACACGTTGATGTCCTTTCTCTAAACCAGGAATATAACTGAAATCCAGACACTGCTTCCATCTCAATTGACCAGTGTGATCATCCATGCTCAGCAATCTTGTGTAGGGATCTCCACGACGAATCTCCACCTGATTCTTCTGAAAATCCGTGAACAACAACAACTTGTTTGGGCTTGGAGGCAAGTCATTGGAAATGATAATGCCCACAACGTTTATGTCAACAGAAACGTTTGAGTCATTTTGATCAGTGTGAGTGGCTGCAAGAGAATTTGCAGAAGCTGAACTCTTCAAATTCAAACACACTGCAAGCAAAACCAGAAGAGAAACATTAACTGAAATTGACATTTTGCTATATCTTCTTTCTGTATGCTTTCTCAGTTTTTTGGGTTCTTCTGCTATGTTATATATATATATATATATATATATACATACGTGTAACTGTGTATATGCGTTTCATTAACTACATTTAATTCAGTTAATCTTCTGTTGATTTCCTTATTCTATTATTTTAACGGAAAATGTTAATGCACATGTACGTTGACTAATTACCCAACATTTATGTTTCTTCTTTTCATTTTATTTATTTATTTATTTGGAAAACAGATTCTCTCTATTTATTTTCAATCATCAATTTTTAATTTTATTTATTATTTGGGAAATTTAAGATTTATTAATTATAATTTTGCTTTTTCGTTATATTTATTATAAAAAATCGATAAGTTAGTATGGATAATTTAGAGGGAGAAAGAAGATTAAAATAATAAAGTTGTTATTAAAGTTAAAAAAATAATAAATTTATTAAAAAGTACGAATGTGAAAAAAATATTTTTTTAATAAAAACCATATGATAATTCATTAAAAATTATAGCGGATTTCCTTTTTTTTTTTTTTAAATTGTATAGATATATTCAGGATATTTTTTTTTCAATGAATAGAAGTTTAACTATTTTTAACAATCATATATAAGACTATAAGGATTTGTGATTCTTTTGAATCATGATTTCATTTTTATTCTTTTTACATAAATGATAAATATAGTTTCTTAATTTTATAATCTTTTGGAAAAATAAATTTTTTCTTTCCACCAAACGTGATCCATGCATGGCTTTGGAAAATTAAAAATTTATTCAATTTTAGAAATCATAATATTATAAGGATTTATAATACCCTGAAAACATAATTTTCATCCAAGAAAGTTAGTTAGTTAGTTACACACCTTCCTTATATAAATAATAAATATACTTTCTCACATTTATATTTTTGGAAAAGTAATTAATTAATTTTAGAAATCATAATTCTAAGGATTTATAATTTCCTGAAATCACAATTTTCATTTACTCACTCACTTCCTTATATAAACCTTAAATATATACTTTATCACCTTTAAATTTATAATAAAATTTTAATCAATTTAAAGAATCATAGTTTTAAAGATTTATAATATAATCCCCTGAAATTATAATTTTCATTCAAGAAAGTTAGTAGTCATTCATCTTCCTTATATAAATAATAATTTTATCACCTTTATTAGTCTTTTGAAAAAGTAAAATTTTCTTTCTTCGAACATATGCTAACGTTGTTTTCTAAATCAAGCATTTTTGTTTTTTCATATACGATAAATACTAATAAGTTTAATTAATATATTACTTTTATTAGATTCATTATTTCTTTTATTGAAATTGAAACTGTAACATCATATATTACAACAGTTTTATTTACTATTAAACACTTCAAAGTTATTATGCACCATTTTTTATTCTAAGAATTGTTAAGGAAAATTGGCATATTTTACTATTAATTATATTAAATATAATAAATAATATTATATGCAAAAATATTTTAGGAAATTAAAAAAAAATATTTTTTTACATATATTAGTATTTCAAATACTCATGAAAAAAAAATATATAATTGCCATGAAATATGAATAATTTGAGTGAATTAATATTTGATTAAAATGTGACTAATCGGTAGGCTTTAAAAGATTATAATATTATACTTTGGAAGCTTGGTATGAGATGAATGAAAAGTTTGAATATTAAGTGTTTTGTTATTTTTATGTGTTCTTAATATTTTATCAAAGAAAATAAATGTGTTAATAAGTTGACTTTAATGGTAGTTTTGGACATAAAAATAATTTTGTTTGATGAAGAGATATTCTTAATTTGATCATGTATATTTTATTTGAAAAGTCTTGATCTTCTTGAATTTATATTTTACATTTTAAAAAAAACTGACACATTGCCTTCACAATTAAATAATTCTTTAAAAGGGTAGTTATTTTTCCTTTTTTTTCTTCTTTATAGTTTTTTAAACAAGAAACCAAAATCAATTATTTTTTATTAAATATAGTTTTGTTCATATATTTTTTTTTTAACTTAATTTGGGTCTTCATATTTTAAAATTATTAATTAATCTTCTAACTTATAAGTATGTATTATTTTGATTATTTATTATATTTAAATATCTATAATATTTAATGTTGATTTTTTAATTTAATAAAATTGATAAAATAATTAAATATATTGATTTTAGTTTTTTTATTTAAATTTAATATTTAATAATACTTTATTTTTAAAAGATTATAAAATATTAAATTTAAATACTTTTTTTAATTTTGAAGATTATTTAATCAAATTTTAAACATAACAAATAAAATTAAGTTTAACGAGGAAAAGAAAAATAAAAACACGCTTAACCCTAATTTTTCAATTCATTCTTCGGGTTTCATTAATTAAATTGAAGTATAAAATGAAAACAATTCAATGAAAAACACAGGAAGAAAGAAGTGAAAAGAAGAGGAAGTTTTATTGATAAATTATATTGAATTGGATTGGATTGAGAAGCATTCAACAATGATAATCACTCCACCTTGATCTTACCTTCCAGTTTGTATTATCCCAACTGTGATAAACACCATCTTCTCTGACAGACCAATAGATGCGTTGGTGGTCACCATCAATGGAAGATGAATACAGAATCACCGGAAGTTTACACATCGCCCATTTCACCATTCCACTGTGCGAATCGAAATTCATTAGTTTAACGAAAGGGCTTCCTGGTTTCAATTCCACCTCATTTGGTTGGTAATCGCTGCTGAAAGACGGTGTTGGTGAACCTGAGCGCAAATCATTCACGATGGAAATCACCAGTATGTTGATTTTCACACCAAATCTTGAGTCGCGTTCAACAGGGTTAGAGGAACCGGTGGCTCCAAAAACTGAACCTCTCAAACACATCACAGCACATAACAAAATGGCTACACGCATTGAACTTGTCATTTTGTTTTTCGCTTTTTCCCCCTCTTGGCATTCTGTTATATATATGAATTTGTCTTTGAATAAATTCAATGTACTTAAATATTCAAATTAATTTTGCATTAAATAAACTCTCCTGCGTGATTTATTTGTTTGAATGTGATCAATGCTGTGAATATTTTTTTATGCTGGTTATGCTAATACTATCATTGGCTCATAAATGTTCATTTGTCTTTTACTACTCCTCATTTACACATGAGTGAGAAACAATTTATTTTTTGAAAGTTCAACGTTTCTTATTTATTGACATAAATAACTGTAAAATAATAATAATAATTTATTTTAAGCTGTATATGAGTTGATTCACGTAATAATAACAGTTTTTTAAAGTTTCTTGTTGCAAAATATTACTATCTTACTTCCTCTAATCCTAGTTGTAGTTTTGTACTTGACTTTTAGATGATCTTACAAGGTCGACGCGTGGACTGATCTTGTCTCATAAGACTGATTTATGGACTGACCTCTTAGGTCAAACTCATGGACCGATTTCTTAGGGTTGACTTGTGGACCAATCTCTTAGGGCCGACTTGCAGACTAACCTGATTAAGTCGACTTGTATATTAACCTCATAAAGCTTACTTGTAGATCCACGTCTTAAGGCTTATTTATGGATTGACCTTGTAGGGTCAACTTGTTGTAAACTAATCTTACAAGACCGACTTATAGATGGACCTCTTAGGATCTTGTAATAGTTGTTTGTCGTTATAGATTTTCTAACCTCAAATGGTCATTCGTCGGTTTTCAATCTTACAATTGTTGTTCATCGTTATAGAGTTTTTCAACCTCAAATTATTGTACGTCATGGTAGAATTTTCGACCTCAAATGGTCGTACATCATTGTAGAGTTTCTGACTTTAAACTTATCATTTGCTATAGAGTTTCCAATTTCAAATGGTCATTTGTTGCTTGTAGAATTTTCGACCTCACATGGTCGTTTGTCCATGTCAAGTTTTTCCACCTTTACACATGGTCGTTTGTCATTTGTTTTTGTTGTTTGTAAACGTTGAGTTTTTCCGATCATAAGCACGGTCGATAGCTGTAGAATTTTCGTTGTGGACTTTTCTGATCTTGAATATAGACCTTTGTAGTTGTAGAATGTCTGACCTCCAATGGTCGTATAGCGAATTAAGAGATATTCAATTATTCTTTTATTCATCTTTCTTGGAGGAAAAACCTCCAAGAACTGGAAAAGAAATAACAAAACAACTAGCCCGTTAGGCGATATATGATGTTTAATTGAAAAACAAACGCAATAATAAAAAGTTTACCTAGGCTGGTTGCATTCTAGGTTATGGGAATTGGTCCTCCACTGAGTGTCTCGAGCTTGTATGTTCCCTTTCCAATAACTTCGGCTATCCGGTAAGGTCTTACCCATTGAACAGAGAGTTTGTTGTGTATCTGATTTGGTTGAGCGTACTGCAACACTAAATCAGACACGCGAAACTCTTTAAGATGGACCTTCGTGGAAAACCACAGTGTGGCAGGATGTTTTGTTGCCTCGGTGCAGATGTGGGCTTGTTCTTCTTCGATACTGTCAAGACTTGCTTGTGTTGCATGTGAGGCACCTTCCTCTGAGAATCCAATCTCCCGTTCTGTAGGTTCTATTACTTCGGTGGGGAGCACAGCGTCTGCCCCATAGACCAAACTGAATGGCGTTTCCGTCGTTGTTGTTTGGACCGTGGTATGGTACGACCATAACACACTAGGCAATTCTGATGTCCATAGTATTTTGCTTTCACCTAATCTACTTTTTAGGCCTCTCAAGATGACCTTGTTATTTGTTTATGGATGTTTGACAGAAGAAAAGCTATGGTGTATATGGAACTACTGACATAACTGCTCTACAAGTTTGCTGGCGAATTGGGTGCCATTGTCGGTGAGAAATTTGACTAGTCGAACAACTATCAGGAAAGGACCTAATATGTCCAATCCTCACTTATGAAATGGTCATGGTGATATAAGAATATGTAAGTGTTCGAAGGGAGTCGTAGACATCTCCACGTGTAGTTGACATTGTTGGCAACTTCGCGCGAACGCCGCGCAATCTTTTGAGAGCGTTGACCAATAATATCCAATTCTTAACACCTTTGTTGCTAGGACTCGCCCACCTATATGGCTTCTACAAACTTCCTCGTGTAACTCCACCACAATCTACCTGGCTCGGTATTCTGGTAAGCAACAGAGCAGGGGTGGAAAACCCTCGAGTATTTAACATTTACTATGAGGTATTTTTACTGTTTTATATGAGGATAAAGAAAATGTAAAATTAAAATGAATGGTTAATAAATAAGTAAATATGAATCTAGGTTACATTCTCATTCATTAATTATATCACATCATGTCACCACATGGTACAATCACCCAAAACCGACAAGTGGATGATGTTTTTAGGATTCCATTAAAATTGAAGTCTTTTGAGTTCCAAGAAATATGATCATAAGACTAAAACTTAAAGAAATGGAAGGAATGACAAGGTGAGTCCAGTCTCTTATTAACTCTTTAGACACATGACTTTGTGAGATAAGATAGAAAAATCTATATTTGATTACTTTAGAACAATTTATGTTTGATGAGAGAAATTGAAAATCAACAACCTGTAAATTGCCAAGATTTGCGTTTCTGCCAGGTGTTGTTGTCCCAACTGTGATACACACCATCCACTTTCACCAGCCAATAGATCTTCTGATGATCTCCTTCACTGCTTCGATCGTATGCATAGAAAATCGAACACAATACATCCCAATACATTATGATCACTTTGCTGTCAAAGTTGGCATATTTTGTGAAAGATTTTCCAGGTTTCAAATAGATCCTTTTTTTTTCATAATTGTAGAAGAAAAACAGTGGTGGCTCGCTGGGGGACAAACCACTGGTAATGGAAATGAAGAGAATGTTGATGTTTGTGTGGGTTGAATTTGAATTGGCTGTTGTTGTTCCTGCTGCTAAGCTACTGACACGAGAGGAAGAAGATTCTGAATAATTGAAGTGTGCAAAACTCAAACCTTTCATCAAACACAGTATCACAAGAAGCAAGAGAGAGGCATGAATTGATCTGCATATCATTGTTTCCATCTTTGATTTTCCCAGTTGATATGATATCTGAATCTGAGTACTATTTTATCTTTCTCAATAACACGGCATTTATGGCCTAACTGTACATGCCTAACAAAATTGCTTAAATCACCACATTGTCCATTCTATTAAAGTAGAAGGTTACCCAACAATTTTATGTATTAATGATTGAATAGGTTTTATTATTACCCTAAACCCTAAATAGTATTATCATATTTTTTGTCATATTTTATAGTATTTTCAACTTTATCTATTTGTACTTATAATGCATGTTTTGCTCTGTGCACATTTTTAATTTAGTTTGTAAGCAAATAACATTTTTAATTTGATTAATATAAATATAATGCATGTTTAATCAATTTCTTATATGCACCACATTCTTTAATTTAATTCCTACACACAGATCAAATTAAAAATTCATTTACTAAAATAATAATAAATAGAAAAGATCATTATAATAATAAGAAGAAGAATCAAAATAATTTCATATATAAAATTAAGTAAACTTCTGTTCATCCCAGCTCTGATAAATACCATCTTTTCTCGTTGCAATTCGTTGTGAGACAAATTCATGAAAATAGTGCAATCTACTTTATTTATTTTCACTAAAATTTTTAAAAATTCTGAATATAGATAAGTAATGCTTTGACTTACGACTTCATCATAAAGAAGTAGTAAATGAAAAGATGGCTTTGATTAGAGTTATACATGAATTTATGTGATAATTGCTTTTGTTAAGTCGTGTTGTAATTAACGATTTTAGTATAATTTTTTTAAGATGAAGTCATCAATTGATTAATGACTTTCGTTCATTTTCTTACCTATTGAAGTATTATTAATTGTAATCAATCTTTGATTTTGATAAAAAAAATTAAAATCATCAATCAATTATGACTTTAATATTAAAAAAAAAAATTCAACTAAAGCCAGCATTTAACATACAACTTCAATACAAAAAATACTTTAAAACCGTGTGTTCAAATACAACTTAAAAAAAAAAAAAAAGATATAAAAAAAAATCGTATGTTACATCTGTCTGAAACACGACTTCTTTTTATAAAGTCGTATCTGAATACAGTACTAACCGAAATTTTTAAAAAATTTATCTATTTTAAAAATAATAAAAGCAAACTACACTAACATGGGAAATTGACCCACCTTCATATTATACACGCCCAAGTCTAACAGAAAACCACCCACACTTTTTGTCATTGAAGCTTTTTTTGGTTCATAATTCGTATACTTCCAATTCTAATTCAACGTCATGAAAGTTCCCAATAAATAATAATGTATCCGCTTCGGTTGATATCTCTTTCACAAGTTAATTAACATTTAATGGATATTTTAGATCAAGAAACATCCGTTGCATAAGTGTTTGCCATTGTGTATTTTAACAAAGCAGATTAGGATTCAATTCCTAATGTGATATGGAATAAAATGACTATAGTTTTCTTTTATGAAAAAAAAATTGATTCTAAATTAGATTGCAAAATTGATTTCAAATTATATTACAATTTAAAATTGAAATTATAAGGACTCCCTTCTTATTGTTATATCAATCCATCAATATAGTTATTATAAAACAAATAAACTTCCAAAATAATTTGTAATTAATTGATTTGTATTATCAATGCATAATTTTTTTCTCTTTATAATTTCTATAACCATAACAAGCCTCTAATTTAATAAAAACATAAAATAATATAAAATATTGATTTAATGTCGTCAAATTATATTAAAATAAGAGTCTCATCTATGTAGCAAAATAAAATATCACTCTGATTTAAGACTATTTGTAGCTTAAAATATCCTAATTTAAAACAGAAATAATATCATTCTTAAAAAAATCTGATTTTGAAATCTTATTTTTTAATAACTAATTATAGAACCAAAAATTATAATTTTATATCATCATATCCTAATAAATCAAGATAATTCTCAGTAACTTGCAAGATCCATCATTAAATGCATTTCGTTTATAATTATTGATTTATTGAACTTTTGAATTCAAAATAGACGTTCCTAAATTACAAGGCGTGTATTGAAATTCTTATTGAATAGATTAGTCTATATATAACAGTTCATTTAATTTAGGAATCAGTTAATAGTTCACAAATTAACCTCATTTTAACAGATATATGCTATTTAATATATAAGAAAATGCCATCTATAATATAAGACAGCATACTTTCAAATGTTGCATGCAGTATTGTCAATATTCTGATATCGTGATACTTCTCCGATACTCCAATGGCTGCCGCCAGTAACTAATGATCATCAAGTCAAGGAAAAGCAGTAGTTCTTCAGCCAGGTAGAAGCAGAGTTGAGAATGCGAAGTTCACCTTGTAGGAGATCTTGAGCCATTAGTCTTCTAACAGAAAGCCTTTCACACAAGGAAGAGGAATACGAAGAATCCAGTGACTGCAAAACAAGCATATCATATCAATAGTGAGAACAGTATTGTCTATGAATAAATTTAAATGAAATGAGAAATGAAATAAGCACTTTAATACTCTTTATGTTTTGATTAGATTAGCATACTGAAAATATCGAATGTGACTTAAATATCCAAGTGCACTTTTGTTTCAACTTGCCAACGATTCAGTAGCCACCATGTTTGGATCACAAAGCTGTATATTAGATGAAGTCCTTAATCTTTACCATGATAGTCGCATTGCGCTCCTCAATTAATTGGATGAATACCGATAACAACATCATGTGTGCTTTGATCTCTTTTCTGATATCCTTTAAAGGGCGCCTAGCCAGCCTGCCATCATTTTGAGCAGCTTCCATGACCAAATCGTCAAGTTCTGATTTTTTGCATCAGTAAAAATTCCAAAGTGGTTACTGTTAGGTATAACTTCCTCAACAAGTGTACCAGCTTTATGAGAAGAATTGTGACCACTATTGCATTTATAAAACTAAATAAACAAGATTTATGTGCACACTGAGACATGTGCTTTGATACATAAATTCCGAAGTGAATACTGTTAGATATAGCTTATTAACAAGTGTGCCATTTTTTTGGGTGGGAAGAATTGTACACATTATTTCATCAATAGAACTAAATAAACAATATTTTATGCGCACCCTGAGATGTGGTACAAGAAAGAACACGAGCGAGCGCACGAATTGACTGTGGAAGACCTTTCCCTTTTCCTCTATCCGATTTCACCTCCCTATGTGATCACAGCCTCCATCAGATGGCCAAATACTGGCAAGTATATTATAAGCAGCATTTTTTGAGTAACACCATATCAGGAAGTCCTATGTTATCGATCATAAGAAAAAAATATGGAAAAGGGTTACAACTATTTGCATGCACAATTCATGCAGCGAGACACAAATACTATGTGCCCAATATGGGCTTAAATATAATATTGCAAATCAACCATTGAAGATAAATAGGATAGGAGAGCATATTGTATGTGCCCAATATGGGCTTATAAGGGAAAATATCCATTACTTTGCTTTGCTAAAAGTAAGCAATGCATTCAAGAGCAACAAGGGCAATTTGGACACACAAAGCAAAATCATTCTATTATGTCGGTCAAAAGAGACTAATACCAAGAATCACTATACAAAAATTGGACTATATTATCTAAAAAAAGGCAAGAACATAACAAATTAGGAATCATTACAAACTTGATAACGAAGGTATTCACAGGATATGTTAAGTCCTTCATATCTTCAGGTGGAAGTACAGCATATCGATGCCAGAGTTCCAACTTCATGTCATGCAAAGGATCATGCTTAGCTATATCAAACTGGATTTGAACCTGAGAATAGTTACCATTATCAATCAAGAATAGCTTATGCAATCATAAAAATAAAAATAAAACAACAAGCTAGAGGAAACAAAATGACATATCAGTCCATGTTGTAGAAAAAAAAAATCAATTGCAAGGATATATACCTGATCGTAAATGTTGTGTGGAATTGTAAAACCAAAGTCCAGCATTAGTGTAGCATTTGAAAACTTTCCATATCTTATTAGGACCTAAAACCAATAAGAACCCTCTAAACCGACGTGAACAATTTTACAATTAAGAACCAATTCGTGTGAACTCATTAAATTCAAGCAATTAAATCATGAATTAAAAGTTATTGAAGTCTCACAAATGAAGTAATTTGTGATAATAAGGCCACTCTTCCTATGACTTCCAATCAATTTTTTTATGAGAGAATCAAGTGGGTAGTTACTATATTAGAGAAAAAGTTTTTCCTAGTTGTATGGTCTCTAGTTACACTATCTGACATTTTCACTAAGTATCTTAGGGGGCACAAATTGAGTTTATTTGTATCAAACTTGGTGCATATAATTCATAAGTTACAATTTGAGAGGGGAATATTAATTATAATATCCCATATGCCCATTATGTTAATCCATCTTTATGTATGTATGTATCTATCTATCTAACTACAATGTGCATGTATAGTATATCAATATAACCCTTTTACTAAAATAATAAAATCATTTTTTACAATATTTTCTCTCTTTTTTCACAAATGATAACTTAGTAATGCTAGTTGTTTAATCAATCAAGGAACCAGAAAAACCATAGGTGAACTTTTCAAATATGATTTCGTTGATTAATTCCATTAAGTAAAAGAAAGGAAAAGATGAAACTAAGAAGTCAAAGCTAAATATATTGCAATAAATTTGAGTTCACAAAATACAGAAAATTATGTATCAACTTTAGGATATAAATTGTTATCACAAAGTAAACAAGTCACTCCATAGTTTACAATAAAATAAAAAATAGTAAATGACCTGTTCACCAGGGGCATAGTCCCGATCAGCAATAATCTGCACATAATTTCAAAAATTAAAGTAAAATTAAAGTGCATAAGTTTGAGTGTATGTGTGTGTTAGGTATAGTTTTGCTTCTCTAATTAGGCTGAAAGAGTCTTGTTGCAGCAGACTTGTGCTAGTCGAATAATATTAGTACTCGACCTGATTATTAGTTCATGCCGTATTTTATTTTTAATTTTGTTTTATGTTACTTTTAAAGATTTGTACCATATGTGCATCAAAATACCACCCCGTATCATATCATAATGGGAAAAGTAGTGGAAGTACAAAGAAAAATGGATTGAGAGACTGAGAGAACTGTTATCCTCAATTCTGCCCATACAACTTCAAAAAACGAGTTCATGATGCACACACTTCCTCTAAACAAATCCCTAGTCCCCTCCCCTCCTAACAACCTAATCATATATGGTATTGCCAACTCATTCCATTTGGACCCCATCCCCTCTTAGTTTTGTGACTCTTCTCACAACTAAGTCCATGATCATTCTCCTATTCTCATCATATTAATTGTGTATCTCTTCACTCTTTTTCCACCTTTAAGAGAATTTTTACCGTATGATCTGGAAATGTAAAAGCCAGAGTAGTTGAGCATAACATATGAGAGATAAGACACAAAAAAAAAAAAAGCTAATGCCCAGGACCATAAAAATTTAAAATGACATTCATGTATTAGGGGGGAAAACTGTTTAATAACCATTTTAATTAGGCTCCAATAATCATTGTGTGTGTTTATGTGTGTCAGAGAGAGAGAGAGAGAGATCAAACTTCTGAACATTGTTTGTCATCATCACTCATTACAATTGCTTCTGAAACTCCATCATGGTTTAAGAAATCTGCAAATGGAATCTATAAAAATATTTAAAAAACTTATTTATGGACCAAGCATAAAAGATAAGAACAGTTTTCAAACAGTAGCAATACCAGAGCTAAACCCTTTGTGCTTCCCCATGCTCGAGAACCAACTGGTAATTCAACATTTAAGTGATCAAATATAACTAAGAATGGGTTTCATATTCAATGCAACATAAAAATAAACGAGGTTTATCAACACCTTTCAAAATTCAGTCTGAGAGATCAGGCAGATCATAAAAGATCAAAAGACCATCAGCTACAAAGACAAAAAGATCACCTCCTATCCTACGTTTGCATTGCATATCAAGATATATTTAGCTTTGTTTGTCTTTTTGAGATGGCAAGAAATCATCAGCATTCATCATATTCATTAAGCAATACAAAACAAGACAAGTAAATTTTGAGTTCCAACTGAACTTATGTTGTGTATGGTTAAAGAAAAAGAGGGAGGAAAGAAAAAGATAGAGAAAATATGGATAATAACGTGTTTTATTTTGCTTGGATAAAGAGAAAATCAATTTTGGACACATAAAAGATCAATTAAAATCATTGTACCTCAATAAAGTGAACATAAAATGGAAGCACATACTTTTCAATTGTTTGCTTTACCTTGTGTGCATGCATGCATGAAGTCCTTGAAAGTAAAATCTCCAAAACTTAGATGGCAACATTCAAAAACCTGAATTAGAACGACAGATTACAATCAGTCTATAAAACAGCCAACTTAATTTATTGAGCTACTCATATGAGGCTAATACTTTGACCAAGTCACCTATTGCAATGTAAAACAAAACAATAAATTTCTTCATTCTGACCGATAAAATTTTCAGAATTTCTATTTGTAAAGGTAAGCACTTCACCGTAACTTCGCATACACCAAAAGAAGCTAACGTTCTTCTGTACAGTTTCTGGGATTCTAATTCCCCTCTATTTTGTAACAAGGTTTCTCATCGTATTATATTTCCTCAAAAGCAAAATATGATTTACTTTACCCCAAGATAGATAATAAAAAATTAGAATCAACTGAATAATTCAAATAAAGATGAAATTACATACTAACCTAGGTAAAAATATGTTTTAATCCCTACAAATGGAGGAAATCTAGTGTTGTATTTGCAAAAGCATAAAAAATCTAAAAATAACAGATTGAGAAACAACTTATACATTCAAAAGTAGATAAATAATGCAAAGTACTTACTCGCTTGACAGCCAAAAAGTCTTTTTCAATTTGAGACTTATGGTCAATAGTTTCCTGATAAACTGAACTTGGACGAATCATCTCCAACTCACTTTCATTCCAAAATAACTGGGAACACAAAAGTTCAAAAATTAACCCAAGGTCTTTATGATTATTCTCCAACTCCAAAAACTGTATACAATCCTTCAAAGAGAAATTTATTTTGGAAAAACAAAAGAACCTCATACATGAATTATTTCAAAGCTTAAAATTGTTACATGAGCAAAGTGACCATTAATTACAGAAAAGGAGAAATAGCTTCTACAGAAATATCATACATCAGAAGATTTTTTTGCCAGGAAAAAAACAAAGCTCTAGTAAGAAAAAGGACAAAGACTTGCCGTATTATGCAGCTCCCCTTGCTGTGGAAGACAGCTGATATAAGGATACCATTCAGAGCCCTATCATTCAGACAAAAATGTTATAGATTTTGTTTCTACCTAGTGAAAAGCTCTGAGCGAATTGTGTCACAAATCTCAAAAGCGTATATGTTGAGGTATTGGCTACCTGGGTTCTATAGATTTTCCCTTTAATACATTGTTCCCAAGTTCCATTCTTTTGTTCAAGGACTTATCCAGCCCTATCTCAATAGTTTTCATTTTACCCTTTCTCTTGACGTATTTCTTATCAAATTAAAAGAACTCTAGGCTAAATATAGAAATACAAAATTATATTTTGTTTTATAAAAATTGCAAGAGCTGAAAAGCTCCCAAGATTCAGATGAAAATAATGATATGAACGAAATAATAAGGTTACCTGACCCAATTTCTTCTCAATGAGAATAACAATAGCAAGTTTCGCAATATTTCCAACTTCCTCACCAATCAAATATCTGATTTCAGGAGGGAGATTATCAGCAGTTATTTGCTGCAAAACCAATTATGAATACCATCAAGAGCAAGCAACCATTGCAACATGTGAAAGTAGTGCCATAACATAACATTCGAGCACAACTTAGAATGCGAAGCATACCACTCTGTAAGGAACCTTTAAAATGCAATCTCCAGTTTGTATTGACTTAGAAGCAAACAGAGACCTAACAAGCGAGATGACAAGAGAGTCAACAAATATTATAATAAATTATAATATACCAAAAAGATGCTTCAACATTCTATTTTGAGTTGTAAAAAATCTTATCCTAAAATAACCGACCCCAAATCAATTGCCAATATCATTTGAATTTAGCAGCAATAATATTCCGCCAATATTGAGCTTCAATGCACAGCGGCAGAGTCAGATGAAAGTTTTTTTTTTTTTTTTTGAAAGAGGGAGACAAACCGTCCATACGAAGATTTCCCGATGGAAAGCGAGGAGGAAATTGTAGAAGCAGCTTTCAGCTCCAACCATGGCAAAATATCGTGGCAATTGGCAGAAAACTAGCGTTTGAGTAAGGGGAAAATGTTGAGAAAAATTCGAATATGATTTTTTAATTGAATTGAGAGTAAAAGAGATTTGAAGTGAACCTGCGGTTTTGACAGAGCCAAAGAATAGAAGCTAAGGTGAAGACAATGAGCGTTGAAAACGCTGTGCAGCAACCACCGCAGACTTGCAGTGCCAGTGCCAGCTCGAAATGACATTCCTCAACTTCAAATGAAGGTCATGCGACGTCGTTTCATCAGTGCATAGCCAACCTAGGCTCAACTCTCTGGTTCACTCCGCTTCAAATGCAATGGAGTCAACTTCTTATAAAACAAATTAAAAATGTTAACTCAACCTTTTTCATTTTGTTAGCCCTCAAAATATAATGAGCATACAAGTGACTGAAACATCAAAAATTTCATATGAAAAAAATTAAATATCTAAAATACAATGTCTTATTAAAAAAAAAAATATATATATATATATATATGATATTACATAATGTACAAAATAAAATTGAATTAAATATTGTACTTAAATCTACGTATTGATTTTTGACTAACATATAATAGGAAATATAAAATGTCTAAGGTCCTTTTAAATATACGAAAAAGAGCAATAAAGAAAAAACCTTTTTTTTCCTTGTTGCCCTAAAAGGTAGATTGGAACTACAAAAATTTGTTCAAACTCTAAAAAACATGACTTTTTTTTTAGTGATAGAGCTATGCTTGGTTAGTAACAAATATTTTTAAAAGTAACAATGAATAAAAAATAATATAATTTACGTTAAATAATTTAATAAGAGTGATAATATGTTTTGTTATAATATAACATTATTAAAAATACTTTATTATATTATAATATTTATAAATTTAATTACAATAATAAAATTAACATTGAGACATTTGAATAAAATATTAGTTATATTAAAATTATTATGTTACAAACTATTGAACCGAGACCAGTTTGTTTCTTTTAAATAATTAGATTTTAATTAAATTATTATAAAATTAAAAATAATTAAAACAAAATTAGTGGAATTTTTCGTCAAATTGATTTTAATAAAAAAACTAGATCAATTTTTTAATATAATTTTTATAAAAAAATATAATTTATTTTAGTTTTATTTATCTTTATCTTACATTATTTATGTAAATTTTAAATAATAGTTATTTTATTATATCTTTATCTTGTTTTAATAATTATTCATTTTATATTTTATAATATATTTTATATTTATAATTTTTATTATAATATGATAATAATTTCTTTAAAATATTAATATTAATAAATTTATTATATATTTATTATATTATATTTATTAAATCATTAATTCACCCTTCAAATCTTGGACTCATATTTACATTGATCCAATTTTAAAAATATTAGTTAAAATAACTTTTTATTTGATGAATCTTGCATTATAAATTATTTAATTTTTTTATAAATTACTTCATCCAATAACTTATAAAAGAAAATCATAATAAATAGAAAAATAAAATGAGTTTTCTAAAAATAATTAAGAAAAAATTTAATTAAATAGGAAGTTGTTTAAAAATAATGTGGTATAATAAATATTTGTTTTGCGATTTTCAAGATAATTATATGAATTGTTTCAATTGAATATTTAACATAAATAAATAGTTGTACCCTAATATTTAGCCTAAAGTAAACCGTTAGGATGTGTTTGGTATTAATAATTTAATCTCGAAACATATGTTAAAATAAATAAAATTTAAGGATGAATTTAACATCAGTGTATAAATTGAATCACTATGCATCAACCTGATTTTGCTGGATCTTGTAATATTGAAAAAACAACATCAGTCAACAGATAAAAGAGTGAGTTAGGTTTGGTAGGTTAATCCATCTTAAAATTAGTGGAATAAATTGTTAGTTTTAATTTTATATTTTGTTTTGATTTGTTTCGTGTAGTTTAACTTAAAATTGGTAGGAAGATCGTTAATTTAAAACTACCAATTTGTTTCTGTTGTCCTATCTAAGTTGTTACTCTAGAGAGTAAAAACGCGTGGGATTGATGGATTCACTTATTGATTTTTAAAAAACATTTATATATTAAAATAAAAATAATTATAATTTAAAGTATAATATTTTATATTATATTGAAATATATAAATAAATTATAATATTATAATTTAAATTATAAATATTAATTAAATAAATTTAAATAATTTATAATAATTAAGTATTCTAATATATAAATATAATAAATTTTTTAAATTTATTTAATATAAATATTAATTAATAAATTAAAAATTACTTATAGAATTAAAAATATATTTTCGCCTTCTTCCAATTTTAACGGGTAAGAGAGGAAATGGATGATAGTAGGAAGCCACCCTTTTATCATCTACCATTATGTTGTGAAGAGTTATGCCGCAACACTTTCAAAAGAAAAAAGTTACTTTTTGAGAAACAAACGTAAGTCTACGAAGCAGGAAATAAGCTTCACGGATAACAATGGTGGTATAATTTACAAAGCTTAGTGGTGGACCCCAAATACATGTCTTTGATATTCTTGCCATTGCTTTATATTTCTTAGTCTGACAAACCCAACTGGAATAGTTATGTAGAAAGCTTCAAAAATAAAGAGATTCCCAAATTAAAGTGAAGGGTTTAATGGGACAACATGCAAGTTGTGAAAATGTTTATATATATATATATATATATATATATATATATATATATATATTTTAAATACGGTGTTGTGCACCTAATTTTATATATTTTTATAAATAACCCTCTTTTAATATTATAATAATTTTTTTTATTAAATTATTATATTAATCAAAGTAAATTATTTTATAATTTAAATCGATATCATTTTTATAAATTATTCTCTTTTAATATTATAATAATATTTTTTTTATTAAATTACTTTATAAATTATTATATTAATAAAAATAAATTATTTAAAGGATAGTATAATTTTTAATTATAAAAATATCACTTATTTATATATTATAAAACACAGAAAACGGTTTAAGATATAAAACCAGTGACAAGTTAAGAGTTAAATAATTTTTAACAACTTATTATAGGAATAATTTTAAAGAGTGAGGTGGGTCCCAAATTAAATTTATTAATTACTGTTAATAATATATGTTTTATAAATCCCTGACAACGATGCTATACTTCTCAGCTTGGTATTCTTTAGTTGAGGGTTCCGGAAACTTGACAATCAAAGTCAAAGTCAGCAACAAACTTACAAATTTTAAACATTTGATTAAAAAAAAGGAAATTATGTATAAGCTAACAAGTTATGTGTTTTAAATAATTATAAACATATCATGAAAAAATATTTCTTTAGAAAAAATATATTTTCATATTCACTATTCGATCAACGTATAATTATATTAATATAATAATACATGTTGTAATTATATTAATATAATAATACATATTGTTAAATATATTAAATGTCAAATAAACATTTTAAAAAATAAGTGATGCTAAATTCGATTGGTATATCTAGATTGTTACGCATTTTATGAATAAAACCCAATTTCGTTGACATTATAGGAATGCATACAATATGAATGTATGCAATGAAATTCATGAGTTTATTGATGTATAGTTCAACAAATCTTCATCCATCGTTTACAGATTAAACTCGCAGCAAAGAACCTTGAACTTGCATGCTACACTGAGAGGAATGTTGACAAGGTCAATAGAGATTATTATAACCAGAAACAACCAATTTTTGCATCTCTAAGAATTTGATGAGAAAGAAAAAGTTGCACTCAACACACATGAACACGGTGAATGAGACGAGATTTTGTTCACTAGAATAAAAATTATTTTGCTTCTACTATATTTGACTGTCAAGTTGTTTTTTCATCAAAGGGTGACGAAGAAGTGTTATATTCATTGTCATTATTGTACAAATTAGTTTGAATATGTAGAATTAAACCCCATAAATAATTAAAATAAATGCTTTCGTTTCTTTTATGAAAAGTGAAAATTTTGAAGCAAATAAGGCTTATGTTTTGACATTTAAAAATGTATTTTTTGTTTATTTTCTACATATTTTTTTTTTATATTCTTCCTACATCTCCAACATCACAAATAATATCGAATGTTGTAATCAATCTAAGTCTTTCAAAATTTCTGCTATAAGCGTATTTATTTCATTTTATCTCATGGTGATTTATATATATTTATCAATTTGTATCGTAAATTTCATATATATTACAAAAAAGTTCAACTTAATAGCATAAAATCAGGTGAATTTAATAATATATGTTTAAAATTATAAAGTTCAATTAAATCGAATTAATTGTAATAAAATATCAAGAATTTAATATTTAAATATAATAATATAATATACAATAATATTAATAAAAAAATACGGATAAATTTATAAAATTGAGATTTTAATTACGAGTCTTAATATATAATAAAAATGAATTACACAGTCAACAAATATAATATATTATAATTAACGATAACTTGTCAATTGTTAATTGATAATTATAATATTGTTTTGAAAAATAAACTAAAAATATATTACTTGACTTAACTAAAGATATAGTTTTTAAAATTGAAAAATTCCGTTTATTGGTTGATATAAAAATATAAAAGTGTTTTATGATTGAATTATTATAGAATTGTTGTTGATTGAAAGCAGCAAAGTGGTAGAAAAATAGGTATAAGCGGGTGCCAAGAGGGTCCAGTTCCCTAGTGGGAACGGAGACAAGAACCACCATAAAAGTCACGACTTTACATCGTACGGTCGAGATGGAAGGGTAGAAAATCAACAGAGGAGAAGGAGCCACGTGGAATGAAAGGACACATGGCGATGCGTTAGTTGATGGGTCACGTCGGTGGAATAGAATATATATAAACGGAGATAAGCTTCCGTTTTCACAAAGTCAATAAAATCAGCATTAAAAACGCAAACCCTAATTTTTTCTCTCTAGATAGATACAACACACAGAAGAAAAGTAGAGATTAGAAAAAAGAGAGAGAAAGAGATTCCCTTTTATCTCTTTCTCGCTCGGTCCATCTTTGTTTCCCACTTTGGTTGTTGTTTCGTGGAAGTTGCAGAGCTTGACCTCAACCCACACCTAACAAAACCCCTTGTTTTATTTTCCCTTTTCTTTTCCCACAACCAATCGGGTTCAGGTATCTCTTCGTCTTTATCACCTTCTTCGCTTTCTTCGTCAAGATCTGGCGTGTTTTCATTTGCCGCTCCTTGATTTTTCCGTGCTCCGCGATTCTGGTTATATTATATTTTTTCGCGATGCCGTGCCCTATACTTTAGTGCATTAGTTTATAGGTCTAGATCTGATTCCACGCCACTTGATTCCGGGACACTTTTCCTTCCTTTCATGGCTTCTCTCGGTTCAAGGTTGTTCTTCTAATTTTGCAGTTGAAAGGGTTTCTTCCTGGGTTTTCTGCTTGATTTGATGAACGACGATGATGTAACCTAGTGGATCTCTTTACGTCTTTTGATTGACTCTGTTTTGGTGAATTTTACGGTGGATTTGTTTCGGGTAGTTTGCTTGGATTTGTGTTTTCTGCTTACTGTCTGCGTTTTAAATCGAAGTGTTTTCAGAGACTGATCGCGGAGTTTGCTTATTGTGTGGGGCGGTTAGTTTTGGATCTAATAATGTAACTTACCGAAGGGATTTAGTTGACCACTGGTTTAATTAAATTCGCACACGAGCATATTTGTTAAATTGTTTTTGACTCTGATCATCGTGTCTTTGTGGCGTGTTTTGCAGGTTGACGCTTCTTCTTTGTCTTTACCTTGGAAGTAAGAGTAAGGCTAGGAATATTTTTACTTTGAAAGGAGAAGCTTTTTAGAAGATGGATATCCCTACCGATGGTTAATTCAGTGCCAGATTTTTTAGCCTACTTCAAAAATTTTGTTGAGGATTTGCTATTGAATCGTAATAATTGAAGTTTAATAGAAGGATTTTTGACTTGTGAGCTTTTTAAACGACTACGTTGGAATCATGCCTGTTTCAGGACATGAAGAGGTGTTTATTTCCTTTCTGATTTACAGCTAACTACGATTAGAGAACCATGCCAATTTGTTCTATTTTGGATATTGATTACTTGATCTTCTATTGACAGACCGGGGTAAAGTCCTATGCTGGGCAATTTAGTGGTTTAGTTGCAGGTGTGCCTATCAAGAAAAGGAGATTCCCTTCGTTTCAGCCTTCTTCCTCACCTGTGTCTGAGGAACCATGCTCTCTCACCGAAGAAACTGAGTTACAACGTAAAGAAAATTCAAGCACTTCTCAAGGATCAACTTTATCAAATGCTAGTATTGCAGGTGCACCAATCAAGAAAAGAAGGTTCCCGTTTCTTCAGCCTTCTTCATCCTCTTTGGAAGAGGCTTCGCGTTCAGAAGAAAGTGATGCCTTGCGGAAGGAACATTCAAGCACATCACCGGGTTCAACCCTTTCTACCAGTTCTTCTAGTTTATCTGATGCTAATGGAATCCCTGCGCTTGAAGATAAGAAAACAAGTACTGATGTTACCAATGCTAACATGGGGCAAAGCAACTCTTGCTTCCTTATACCGAAACACGAGGAATCAAATCTTGGTACTCAATCATGTACTTTGGATGTCATGGATAGCAGAGAAAAGGTGATACTCAGTGAAGAATCTAACAAAAAATTGGAATCCCAAGTTATCAAGGGGAATTCTGAACTCTTATTGGCTGCAAAGGAAGGTCTTGCTCTTAGCATTGGAGCTGATGTGAGCAAGCAAAATGTCAAAGATATTTGTAAACAAGAGAGTCCTTTAGTTTCAGGAAGTACTAGATTGTCTTTTAGCTTAGAGGAGCACCTCTTTCCAGATGTTGCAAGTATGGAGAATGACAAGAATCGCCAGAAAATAGAGAAAGTGGAATCTGTCTCATTGGAATTATCTTTAAGCAAGGAAGACTGCAGTTGTCACAGTTTAAATACTGATGCTAAAACTGATAGGAACAAGACTCCTGTTCACTCTAACAGGGCAAACTGGGATCTGAATACTACAATGGATGCATGGGAAGAATCTGGGACTGAAGCTGGCTTGGTTAAAACATGTGTCGATGGGATCAAAATGACTGAAAATCCAGTTGTTGAAAAGCGGTTAATGTGCTCTACTGGGATGACACAACCGACAAGTGTTGTGTCTCTAAAGCCAATGTGTGACGAGAGTCAGAAAAAAGATTTCACTTTTTCATCTGGATTGTGTGGACAGAAGTTTAAATTTGTTGATTCTAGTAATCTATCTCTTACTCCTTTTCTTCAGAAATATACAGAGGAGCCCTCAAAATTATCTGTTAAACCGAATTCTGGTAGTTCTATTTCCAGCGTAAGCTTATCTAGTGCGGCTTCAACTGCAGGTGATGCAAATACTTCTAGTTTTAGGTTGGTAAAACCAGAACCTTTTGATGAGAACTTGAAAAAGGATTTGAAGGAAGCTAATGCTCCGGTGGGTTCATCAGATAGTGTGACTGTTAAACAAGAACTCTTTCAGCCTTTCATTGTAAACTCTTCAAAGTTGTCAAATGTAAGCAATCTAATGAAAGCTGATACTGTCTCCGTTAAACAGGAACCAGATCACACGGGTAGTCAAGAAAGATCCAATGCTGCAGTGAGTAAAACGGGTCAGTTGGATAAAGAATTACAACAAGGATTGGATAATTCTTCTCCTTCATTGTCGATTTCTGTTTTGCCAGAGATAACACATATTTCTGCTGAGGCAGCTTGTCCTCCAGTGAAACCTGTGCGTACAGCAGAGTTATCAGCCAGTGAAAATATAGCAAGCCAGATTGGAAACAGTAGTCCTACAGATGGAGACAATGTTGAGAAAGTTTGTAATGAAGGTTGTTTAAATGCTGAGCAGGTTACCATAGAAACAGTTTCTATGCCTATGGTTGATAATGGTTCAGAGTTGAAGAATTCTGGTCTGGAAATTTCTTCTATTGGTACTGAGGATGAAAGGGCAGTCGATCGTGATGCATGCAGATTGAAACTCATGAATGAGCCTCTGCCTGCTACTCGAGGCACTGGTGAAGGCTGTGCAAGTGATGAAGAAAAAATAACCCTATCAGGTGACATGTTGGAGGATGATTCTTATGATTCTGATTACGAGTCAGATGAGAATCATGCTGTAACTATTGCTGTGGATACGGAGCGATACGTTGAAGATGATGATTATGAAGATGGTGAAGTTCGAGAACCACTGGATCCTTCCACAGCAGAGGACACCATATGTGAGGTAAGAGAAGTAGAGCATCCTGATTGTAGTAACTTTGTAAATAAGCAGATGGAAAAAGGAATGGTGAGTGATGATTGTAACGCATCTAATCAGGTAGTGGAAAATAACAATAAGCCTGCAATTCAAAGTGAAATGAACAGTGAAGATGGTATTGACATTGAAATGCATGAGAGGTCTGGTAAGGTCGTTGACAAAAATGTGTGCCTGCAAGAGTCATTGGATGACGAGAAGTCCAACATTGCTGCTCATGGGAACAAAACAGTAAATGATTTGCAAATGAAAGCATTAGATCTTTTGGAAGGGAAAAACGTCTCTGAAGCTCTGGTGACAGAATCACCTTCCAATCAAGCCACAAATGGAAGCTGTGGGGTTGATGTCCAGTGTGCTGATGAGGTTGTCAAAACAACTGACACAGTTAAACAAACTGATCTAGAATTGTCAAATATGGAAGTGTCTGCAAATGCTAATGATGCATCCAAAGATGCCAATAGTGGTGGTAATCCAGGGAGAATTATAGATCTGTCTCGAGCTACTTGTTCTTCATCCCCTGGTAAAACTAGGCCCATTTCAGGCAGATCACTATCATCTCGATCTGGAAGAGATGTATTGTCTGACACACTTGATGGGGATAAATTACACAGAGGAAGGTATACATTTTTAGTCGTATAAATAAATTATTTCTCCTTTATCCACCGAGTTTGTTTTCGTTTCCTCAAGTCAAATTCTTATTGTTTTGGTTTTCAGAGATGAAGTTTACATTGATGGCCCTCACAAATTTTCAAGAGAAAGACATAATGATATGTCCCCTAGAAACTCTAGGTTGAATTTTGGACGAGGTCGAGGCAGACTCAATAGTCGTCTAGACTCAGTTCGTAGTGAATGGGAATCTGACCGTGAATTTTCTGGTGAGTTTTATAATGGTCCAAATCAGTTTCGTGGGCCAAGGCCTAAATATTCATCTGCTTTTGCGGATACTGATTTGGAGTACAACAATGTTGCACCTGATGGCTTATATGTTGGGAATGGTCGATTAGGCAGAAAGCCATTGAATGATGGGTCATATATTGCACCAAGGAGGCGCTCACCCGGAGGTAGAGATGACATCCAAATTGGTCATAGAAATCCAAGAAACATCAGTCCTAATAGATGTATTGGTGATGGTTCAGACTTGGTTGGGGTGAGGCACAATGATAAATTTATGAGAGGTATGCCTGAGGATAACATGGATGCAATGTTCACACGACCTCAAACATTTGAGGGAATGGATGGTCGATTTACAAGGGGGAGTAGGAATTTTTCTTCCATGCAGAGAAGGGGCCTTCCTCGTATTCGTTCCAAGTCACCCATCAGATCTAGGAGTCGCTCACCTGGTCCATGGTCATCTCCCAGAAGAAGGTCTCCTAGAAGAAGATCCCCTGATGGTTTTGGTGGACATCCAGAACTAACCCATAGAAGATCACCGTTTTACAGGGTGGACAGAATGAGGTCTCCTGATCGACCTGTTTTCCCTGCAGAGAGAGTGGTGAGACGACATGGCTCCCCTTCGTTTATGTCAAGACCTTCCAATGATATGAGGGACATTGATTCTGCAAGGGACCATGGCCATCCAAGGTCTGGTCGAATTCTAATCAGGAACCGGAGGTTTGATGTTGTAGATCCCCGGGACCGTGCGGATAATGATGATGACTACTTTGGGGGGCCCATGCATTCTGGTAGGTTACTTGAGCTTAGTGGTGAAGGAAATGGTGAGGACAGGAGAAGGTTTGGTGAGAGACGAGGACCTGTGCGTTCTTTTAGGCCTCCCTACAATAACAATGTTGGTGAGAATTTTCACCTTAATGCTGAGGACGGACACAGACATTATAGATTCTGTTCAGATGATTCCGATTTTCATGAAAGAGGAGGCAACAACATAAGGGAAAGGGACTTTGACAGGCGAATCAAGGGCCGGGCGGCAAATGTGCCACCCAGAAGAACAAGAAATATGGATGAGCAGGAAGAGAATTTCAGGCATGGTGGTGGTGGACAGGTTTGGAGTGATGACAGTTTTGATGATATTTCACGGGTGAAGAGGAAAAGATTTTGATTTCCTATCGATAACTATAAGCCTCCTGCGGGGATGTTGGAGGATTATTATGGAATTTATATTTGCAGGGTTTTCACCTACAGAGTTAGAGTAGATTATAATAATACTAATGCCCCTTTTCCTTACTACATTAGCTTTAGATTTTTAAGCCAGTTCAATTGAAATGAAGCAGTGATTCTGAAAGCATGTATGCGCATCATCAAGTGTGGTCAGACTGTAGTGGAAGGAAGAAGTAATCGCGAAATGGAGGGGTTTGCTGAACAAACAAAATTTAGTTGGGATCAGTGTGGCTCCGAATGATGATAGCGGGAGGGTAATGTGCGTACGGGCCAAACAAAAAAAAAGGCATTTTCGTTTTTAATAATTTACTTACTGGAATGATGTTATTGGTTCTTTTCACTTTCCTGTTCCTACCACCTACCATCAGATTGACACCAAACAAGCCAGCCAAACTTAATGAAATATAATAACAAGGTATATTAAATGCACAATAAATAACATTGAATGAACTTAAATCTATTAATTATTATTTCATAATCTGGCGTGTGAGGATGACAACTACAATTAATTTGTGGTCAATGGAGAGAAGTCAATCAACCAATGTTCTTTAACACAGATACCTATTTTCTGCCGTCCAGAACAAGCCCTTATTAATTACTGCGCAGGTAGTTTGTTGTTACTTCTCATATGCTGTTTAACTGATTAAAATAAATTATTATTTATATTCATCAGAATATTTTTATATTTACTCTGGTGTGCATTTGAAACACGACAATCAATTCGACAGCTACTAGGATTTTTGTCTTAACAACCATATCCATAGTACCTCTCACTGTATTTTGGATCATAAATATTCATGCTATTTTTTTATAGTAACAATCAATTTTTATGAATTGATATCAAACAATTGTTTCATAGAAAAATTTAAATACAATGAAGTCGTTATTAACTACATGTGAAGTTGATAGTTTCGTGTGGAAAAAAGATTAATTAGATTTAAGAATGATGTTTAATAGAACTAAAAACTGATGAAACCATTTGTGGGATTTAATTCACTTAAAGTTATTTGTAAATATTATTTTTATAGATATTATTTGAAAATCTATCTAATATTAATATTATTTTAGTGAATTTAATGTTATAAATTACAGCGAATTACATAATAGGATATTAAAAAAACTATACAAATATAATAAACAAGTTAATTATATAATAAAGCTAATTTAGTCATTATTATATATAACAATTTTTAAGTAACATATGTAGGAAGTACATATATGTATGATAACAGGAAAATAGTATTCATATATATATATATATAGTGTGTGTGTGTTTACATTGTTATAACAAACAAATTATAATTTCTTATTTTCATTTGGACTACGAAAGAGAATGACAATGAAAATATAAATAAACTGAAAAAATATTAAAAAGTGAAATTATCTGTATTATAAAAAGAAAATAAAAAAAAAAAGTAATTTTTTTTAAAGATGTTTTGATTGATGCGAAAAATAATAAATAATAAGATAATGATAATAATGTTGATTAACAGTTAATAAGAGTTATATGAAGTGAAGGTGGACGTTGTTTTAATTTGAAGCAGAAGTTGTGGTTGTTTTTATAATAATATTTGCAATACTTGAGAATCTTAAATCTTCATAATTCTCTTGATCTAAATCATTGACATTGATTAAATAATTTAGAATCAATTTGTGAACTGTGCAACTAACATATATAAGTTTTCACCTTCCTGTAACATTTAAGGAAATTTTTTTTGTTGAATTATATATATTATTTTTAATCAAAGGCATAAATTTCGTAAACTCGTTGTTTTATTTTTTTGGTCTAGGTGTGGTGAAACGGTAAGTGGTGCAAAGGAGCGCAGGTATAAATAAAGGGCAGACTCCACCAAGAAGGTTGAAGAGGCAAAGTGTTGGGAATCGTAACGACGAAAGGAATTATGAGGGGAACTACTTCCAGTCTTTGGCGATTGGCAAGACGAGCGCGTCTTCCATTCCAACCACCCACGCACTGTAACAAAAATAACACTCCGCTATCTATCGCTCGCCCGTTTCACCGCAATGCTTTCTCCTCTTCCCCCTATCCACTTCCCTTTCGATTCTTCACCGGTTTGTACTATTCTTCTTCTATTTTCCTCAAATTTCGATTCCCCTTTTCATTTCTCAGTCCACAGGGCAACGTCGGAGCATGTTCATCGAAGCGCAGGCCACGCCCAATCCCTCGTCTCTCATGTTTTATCCCGGCAAACCTGTCATGGACGTTGGTAGCGCCGACTTCCCCAACCCTCGTTCCGCCATGAATTCCCCCCTCGCGAAGTCGCTCTTCGCAATCGACGGTCTCTTTTTTACACTTTTTCTTTTTCCTGTTTAGTTAGGGATTCTACCTCATTCATCTCTCTTTGCCTTGCAGGCGTTACTCGCGTATTCTTTGGATCTGATTTCGTTACCGTTACGAAATCGGAAGACGCTGCCTGGGAGTTCCTGAAACCCGAGGTATTTGCCGCGATTATGGATTTCTACTCTTCCGGTCAGCCTCTCTTTTTAGATTCTCAATCTGCCGCCGCCATGGATACAGCTATTCACCAGGTAAGCATTATGAGGTATTTATTGTACCATTCACCGGTCAGGATTAAAGTTTCTTAGTTGTTTAGTCCTCATGAGAGAACAATAACAAAATACTTAGAGAAGTATTATTCAATTCGTAATCTGGGCTTTGTTTGTGATTCACACTATTGAGAGTTGAAATTTTGAGTCTTGACCTTACTCAACTCTAAGAGCTTGCTCTTGAAGAAAGTGTGGATGATCTGATCGTGGACTGATATGTCCAACAACAATCATTCGAAGGGTCCAGATATCATCTTAGATTTTGTAATTCAGGTTTGGATCAACAACAGAAGTTAGTTGTTGAAGTGAGAGTTGTCTTCAACTTAAATACATTACTTTAGTCATATCATTAGTCAAGCTGAGATTTTTTATAATAGTCTTAGTTATCATGTTATTTTAGTAAACATGCAGAAAGTTTTGTTTAGACTCTGTACAATAGTCTGAGTTTCCTGGAGTGTCAGATTTGCCTTTGACTTAATCATGGAGGACATAATAAGTTTGAGAAGGGCAGAACTAAATGGTATGTAAACGCGTTTCCATACAGGACGATTCTGAAACAGTTGCGATGATCAAGGAATTGTTAGAGACTCGAGTTCGGCCAGCAGTGCAAGATGATGGTGGGGACATTGTATATCGAGGTTTTGATCCGTAAGTTCCTTTTAACTTTTTTCTTTTCGTTTTGAAACACTTTCTGTTATATAAACAGAGTATTGCAAAATCTCTCTGCCCCGCGATTCTAGTGACTCTCGTCCACGAAGTTGAATGTTGTTGGGCTTCAGCCGCAAAACATTGTGTGTTACCTTTGTAAGTGCTCTTATGCGGAGATGAGTTTGTTACCCATACCATATCTATTAATAGACCATTCCATTCTCTTTCGAAACATACTATTCATTCATCTTCTCTTCTCTCCTTTTTCATTCTTTTCTTATATTAGGTTTATTTACTCTTCTAAGAGTTCCTTGCTAGATTTTGAGTTCCTTGGAAAATAAAAGATTCCTTGCTAGTTCATTCATCATGTTGTATCCTAAGGGACTTGCACAACACACTGTAGAGTAATTATACATGCCTCAGAAATCAAGTTTTTTTGTGTGTTTTCATTAGCATTTATAACAATTTTAAAGACTTATGGTTATTTAAACAAAGAGTATTTAAACAGATAGTAAGGACATCGACAACGTTGCACCGAAGAAGACCAACAATATTTTTTAAACTCAAACTGTCTTTGTGAAACCTTTCCGGATGTTTCGAAAATTGTAGAACTTCCGATGCTGACAGGAACACATTTTGACTCTGTTAGACATGTATGTAGTGGTTTTCGTTCTTACAACTACCAAACTTCACTCCAGTACTCCTACTAAACAGATTGGAGACTGAATTCATTCGAACAAGGTATGTCGATACACTTTGTTTAATGCATTGTCTAATAATTTGTTCGATGTGTACTCCTTCTCTAAGGAAGCTAAGGATATATGAGATTCGTTGATTCTCAAATATACTGTCGAATATGTCGTGAGACAAAGGTTCGTTATTGAAAAATACTATTGTTCGGAGATGTTATAAGACAAAGACATCAATATCCAAATCAACGAGTACCATAAGTTGCGTGAAGATATTAAAGGAGAAACATAGTCCTACTTGATGAATTTGTTTTAGAACTTGTAGTAAAAAAGCTTGTGGAATCTTGGATAGACTACAAACAACAACTGAAACACAGACATAAACAGATGTCATTGCCAAATTTTATCACGCACATCATCATCGAAGATACCAACCAAAAGGAGTATGCTACTACAAGGGCTAAGACATTATTAGTTAAGTCAAATATGGTAGAAGACAAATATGTTCCAAAAAGTTACGAGAAAAACTTGATCATAAGAAGAAAAATAATTTTAAAATTTTGTCTCAGTGGATCAAAGACTACCTTCAAGAAGAAGGAAAATTGTTTTGTCTATGAAAAACTAGACATCATATGAGAAACGATAATCCTCTTAAGGCAAATTTAGCTGAAGGAGAAACTACAATTGTTGCAGTAGTTTTCCAAACAAACTTAATGACCCATATGAGAAAATGGGTGCTAGGTTCTGGTGCCACCAGACACATCTGTGCAAACAAAAGTGTATTTACCTCGAGTATGGGGATGGAGATAGACAGAACACGTTTATCTCAGTGATTCTAAGACAACTCTTGTAATAGGAAAAGGAAAAAAAAGGAAAAGTTCTTTTAAAGTTCATATCTGGAAAGGGAAAAGAAAAAAAAGGAAAAGTTCTTTTAAAGTTCATATCTGGAAAGGGAAAAGAAAAAAAAGGAAAAGTTCTTTTAAAGTTCATATCTAGAAAGATTTTGGCCTTGAGTGATGTGCTACATGTGCCACCAATCAGAATTAATCTAATTTTTATAGCACTATTGTGAAAAATTGGGGTTAAAAAGTGTTATTTGAATCTAATAAGATCGTTATAACAAAAATTAATGTCTTCGTCGAGAAGAGACATTGTGATCAATGCCTTTGAGTAGAACGTCAAACTAAAGTTTTAAGATTAATTCATGCTAATCTAAAACAAACCACGTGAGGTGGTAAAAATTATTTTATAACATTTATAGATGATTACTCTAGATATATCAAAATATATTTAATCAAACATAGGGATGAAGTTTTTGATGTGTTTTTTACTTTTAAGGCGGAAGTAGAAAATCAATTAAATAGAAAAATAAAAAAGATTAGATAAGATGGAAGTGGTGAATATGTATTATTTAATGATTATTGTGTTAAAGAAGGTATTGTTTATAAAGTAATTCTGCCTTATTCACATGATATTAATGGAGTAACTGAGAGAAAAAAACTCTTAATATCATGCTTGTTAGTTCTAGTGCACTTGATAACCTTTGGGGAGAAACGCTTCTTAAGACATCTTTCTTACAAAATAGAATACCAAATAAGAAAATTGATAACACTCCCTATGAGTTATGGAGAGGTTTTCAACGTAACGTTAAATACCTAAGAATGTGGGTGCCTACTTGATCTTAAGAAAAGAATAATAGGTTCTAAAACTTATGATTATATGTTCTTAGGCTATGCAGTGCTGTCAATAGGTTTCTTGTTCTTAAAAGTGATGTAATAGAGCCTAATCCTGTAATGGAGGCAAAAAATGTTCAGTTCTTTGAACATATTTTTCTTTCAAAGGTTAATAAGACATTTGGACCTAAATATATTGCTAGTGATGCCATGTGTGAGGATTTGAGGAGAAGTAAAAGACATAGAAAGAAAACTTCATTTGAAGATGATATTTGCACTTATCTAGTTGATCCAACAAGCCTCTTAGAAGCTACTAGTGCCTTGATGCAAAAAAATTAGGTAAGGTCATTAGGACTGAAATTGAATCAATTAAAAAAAAATAATACTTGAACTTTAGTAGATTTGCCTAAAGGAACAAAACTCATTGGTTGTAAGTGGATCTTTAAGAAAAAGTATATTCTTTATGGATCTATATAGAAATACAAAGCAAGACTAGTAGCAAAGTTTTACTCAAAAACTCAACATAGATTACTTTGATACTTTTGCTCATTTGACTAGGATTTCCTCTATTTCAATATTGCTAGTTCTAGTAGTTATCTATAAGCTAGTTATATACCAAATGAATGTTAAGACAACTTTTCTTAATGATAAATTGGAGAAGAAAATTTATAAGACTTAACTTGAAGGTTGTGTTGTTCCTGGTCAAGAGAATATAATAAAGTGTGCAAATTTTTAAAATCTTTGCGAGTTAAAATAGGCACCAAAATAGTGACATGAAAAACTTGATAGTGTTTTGCTTTGTGATGGTTTTTCAACTAATGATGTTGATAAATGTATGTATTCCAAATTTGAAAGTGGTGGATGTGTCATTATATATTTATATAAGGATGACTGATTAATATTTAGTACATGAACTAAGTTGTTTCTGGGATCTAAATTTGAATTAAAAGGTGTGGTTGAAGTCAATTTGATTTAGGAGTTGGAATCATAGGGAAATGACATAGTATTTTATTATCCCATGAACAATATATTGAAAAACTTCTTAGGAAGTTTAGATATTATGATTTCAAAGCAGTTAGTACCCATTATGATGCTAACTCTAAATTAAAGAAAAATAAAGGATACTTTATTTCTCAACCTCAGTATGCCCAAATAATTGAGAGCTTACTGCATTTAATGAGTTTTTCTAGATTTGACATTGCTTATGCAATAGGTAGACTAAGTAAGTACACTCAATTTCCTAATTAGGAACATTAAGATGCATTTGTAAAACTTACGAGATAATTAAGAGATTCAATGAATTATGCCATTGAATATAATGAATTTCTCATTGTTCTAGAAGGGTACAATGATGCTAACTGAATCTCTGGTTCAAATGAGACAAAATTTACTAGTGGTTATGTATTTACACTTGGGGTGGTGCAATTACATGGAGATCAGCGAGGAAAACAATTATTCTAAGATCGACAATGAAATTAGAATTTATTACTCTTATGGCTGGTAATGAAGCTGAGCGGTTGAAAATTTTTTTAGTAAATATTTCGTTTGGAATGAAACCAATCTCGTATGTGTCAATACATCGTGATTGTCAATCGACAATAACTATAGTTAAAAATAAGAATTATAATGGAAAGATATAATTGAGACACAATTTGTTGAAGCAGTTGCTAAAGAGAGGAACAATTTTCATTGGCTATGTTAAGTTAGAACGAAATTTAGCAGATCCTCTAACGAAACCCCTTAAGAGAAACATGGTTTTAGAAGAAACATGGAGGAAAATAAGACTCAAGCCACTTGCAAACAAACAAGTGATGGTAATTCAACTTTTGTGATTGGAGATCCCATAAGGTGCATATGGGTAAAAACAAGTCACTTGTTAGTTCTGCTAAAACTAAAATTGATTAAAATCAATTATGTCTATTCATATATTGTGGGATCTTGACAATATTTTCAGAGTACTCATGAATGCAGGGCACGTGCATGACTTAGTAAGCGCAATACAACGATAATAATAAGAATTGTAGGGATGTATTATGATTGATAAACTACTAACACAAACTAAGTGTTTTTGGTTTATATAGCTTGTTATACCAACTACATTGTATTAAGTTTTTCAATCTAAAATTAGTTCATATAGTATGTTACATCAGTTCTAATATATTACATTTGAGACCCAAGATTTTTCTCTTTCATTTGCTTTTGCAATACGTGGGGGATTGTTATTTCAACAAAGAGTATTGCAAAATCTCTCGGTCTCGAGATGTGCTCCGGAATCTCTGGCGACACTTGCCCATGACCACAATCTCTAGCGACGCTCACCCACGAAGTTGAACATTGTTGGACTTTAACCGCAAGGACCGCACAAACGTTTTAAGCGTTGCACGTTTCCTACGCAAGTGCTCTTTTGAGGAGATGGGTTTATTACCCATACTACACCCATAAATAGACCATTCCACATTCCTCAAAAACACATAATTCATTTATCTTCTCTCCTTCTTCTTTTTTCTTATCCTGAAGTTATTTACTTTTATAAGAGTTTCTCGGAATATCCGAGAAATTCCTACTATATCCTAATGGACTTGCACAATATACTGTGAATAAGTCCTCAAAGAAAATGATTATAAATGCTTCGGAAATAAAATTTTGTTGGTGTTTTCATTAGTATTTTCATTAGTATTTACAACACTTTCGTGAAAATCTTAAGGAGGAAGAACATGGATAATATAGACTCACTTTTGATACAACTTGAGCATAACACACATATTTCTTATAAATCCTTAGGAAACTCACTACAATAACAGAAACATATTCCTCAGAGTCCCAGGAAATTCTACAGTCATTGTCATGGTGTTCCCTCCCAATCCCTACTCCTAATCTAAAACATTCATTCTTCTTTATATATACTGTCAAATGTTCTACCTAACCTACTGTCAATCCAACTGAATTGTCCACATAGCTGTTATTGACTCTATTATACTAAGTGTTAATACTTGGGGCAATTATCTAACTGATATTTTACTGACTTGTATTTTATAATGTGGATTTTCCAGAGATACTGGAATAGTAAAACTTAAAATGCAAGGGGCATGCAGTGGCTGCCCAAGTTCATCAGTGACTCTGAAATCAGGCATTGAAAATATGCTGATGCATTATGTTCCCGAGGTAATAAATTTGGCAATATTTTTTTTGTGATGAGCATAATATATTTATTGTTTTTATTATAATTGATGTTGAACTTTATCTCCTTTTAGCATTGATTTGCATGCTCCATGCACATGCTAAAGTTAATTGAGTCCATATTACAGTGGTAAAGTCAGGGGACTAATTAAATTAACTTGTCAAATTTGCTAATTATATTTTATACTTTTGAATTAGATAGAGTGCGTGTGATAAGCACCTAAATACTCGCGGAACCTACCCATTTAAAGCTTGTTATGGAAAGGGGATAGCCAAGTACTTGAAATACTTTAGTGACTAAGACGACTAAGGTTGCATACATTAACCTTCCTTGGATCCCACCAACTAGGAGCCTTGTACGTTGGTTCACCCTACACTATGAATTAGATTGTTTGTTGTCGTTTGCCACCACTGCATCTAAGCTTTGGAATATGGAATACACGTACTTGTTACAAACATTAGCTAGTTCCGATTTTCACCAATAATGTATCAGAGTGTAGTATCTTTTTCAGTTCAATAGATATCCACCACCAGCGTAAAAAATTATACACAATCATTCGATAAAAGAAAATCATGATTGATATGACTTACAAATTAAAAAAATTATAATTCATAGCGGTTTGGGTCAAATGACATTGCAATTTTATATATATTATTTTCTTATTTTTTATTTAAAATTAGATATTAAAATATTTTTATATTATTTAGAATAAGAAAAAACGATATTTCATTCTAATTATGATTAAGATATTCTTAATATTTAATATTTTATCATATTTTAATTTATATATATACATATAAATACATAAATAAAATATATATCACATGAGATATATTTTATATATTTGAAATACACATAAAAAAACTTTAAAAATTTTCATATATATATATATATATATATATATATATTTTCATAAATTTAAATTTGTAATACATTGCCAATAGTATTTGTCCTCGAATTTATTTGAGGAGAGTTAATAAAATGATTGCAATTTTATATGAATAATTCATTCATACTATATTTAATTAAAACATTATTTAATGCTGCTTCCCATACTTACAGGTCAAAGGTGTGGAACAAGAACTGGATGCGGAGGAAGATGGAGCAGCATTGAGTGGAGAAATGATGTAGTTGAAGTTTTGTTGTTTATGCTCATAATAAAATAATAGCTACCTGCATTTAGTCTAGTTAGGCATGCATTTTACACTCAACGGAGAACTTTGAAGTACAACGGGCAGTAGGGATGGAAACAAGAGCTTTTTTACCATACAGGGTTAAAAATTTTTGATTTTACTGAAATGGGTTAAAAAAAAATAATTTTCCTAAAATGGGTTAAAACGTGAAAAGAGGGACGATTTTACCCTCAAAATCGTGATAGGAAACATGTTTTTGACTAAAATTATGATTCCTATCATGTTTTTTTCTTTTTCTTTTTAAAGTGCTATGAAGCATAAATTTCTTATTTCTTTTGAAAAACGACATTTTGTGTGTAGCACGCGTATAATCCCGTGATGATTGAGGTTGAATGTTTGTTTGTCTATTATTATCATCATTTTTTTCATTTGTATATTATATAGGAGACATACTGGACATAGTAGTCACAAAAGATGATTGATGTATGTTAATGGTGGTGTCATGGAAGAGGTGAAAAATATATTTGTTTCAGATGGAAATGAAGTAAATGTATGAGAAACTTGTCTTTTAAATTGAAATTACGTAGGTAAATTTTGGAGTTGACCAACATATTCAAAATATGAATAAGGTTGTTGATCACTCGATTAACCAACATGATGATGACTCGACTGACCAATATGTTGATGACTTAACTGATCAGTATGGACATGACTAGGTTTGCTAATATATTGGGGTTGTTCTTGTTGCTTTGTATCATATTGTTAAAAAATAAAATCAATATTAGTTTGATATGAATGTTATATATATAAAATAAAATTATTGATATACTTCATTTGAATCTTCTTCTTGGATGGATAGAGAAAATATATTTGATAGTATGCTAAAAATACCTTATCATATATGTTGTACTTTCACGCAAGTGGTCATTCTTGTTGAACTCGTTTCCTTGAATTAATCGATTGTGAAGTCATTCCATATAATAATCCAAGTTTAATGGTATTGAGGTTAAAATCTATCAGTTCTACCTCTCATGTCTTCTTTGTGAAGTTTGTCAAGATTAAGCGGGTTTTCTAAAATTAATTGGTGAAGTTCAAATTACCCCATAACTCAATTTGCTGGATGAGGCTTAATAATAGCAAAACATATCATTGGAACTATAGCACGACTCACAGGAGAAACCTCAACATTTATTAATTGTTGTAACACAGGACGACGGAGTCTACAAAAACTGTATTATTTTATAGAACTTGTAAAATTAGAATTATTATCATTAAAGAAATACATATTGAGAGTTGTATTAAATGAAATACCTCATTTGGTTTTAATTGATTAAATGTTAGACGTAATACATGTACAATATATGTAATCATGTTGGACTTTTGATCTAGTCGTAAAATGAAGTAATATGAAAGAAAGAAATGGAATAAAACAATATAAAATAAATTTAAATACCTTTTAGCCAATGGGAAACCATATCCTACATCAATCTCCTCATTAGTTAAATCTTTTACCTTAAGACAGATGTATGTAATATGGTCTCATGTCTAAGCTTGGAGCAATAACATGCATTAGGACAGATGCATGTAATATGGTATCATGTCCAAGCTTGGAGCAATAACATGCATCCTCCAATGTTCTCTTGATGATAGTCAACGTCATGATTCAACGCTCTATATAAACATGCAAAAACAGTTTATCCCTAACTATAGTTTGAAACTAGCTGCAATAATAGGAAATACATTAAATGCACTCCAGATGTCAAAGTATCTGGCCTATTATTGTTAGTATGTGTGCCCTGACATGTTGTGTGACAACGTTATCGTCTGCATCATTTGGAAGGTGTTGAAATGAAATGTTTAACCAAGACAATTTTATTGTGTTCCCTATAGCAACACCGTTGTAAAAAATCAATTTAAAAATTTTCATTTTTTCAAGCTTCTGGAACTTGTCTTTATTTTGAGCAAAGGACATTTTGCGGTAGGGGCGAACCTAATAATTGTTCGCAAAAGATGGTCAAATCTCCACTACTGAGACCTGTAACTGGCATTCCATCAATGAGCAGACCTAATTGTAAGATCACATATTCTAATGTAACTGTGACTTCTCCGATGAGAAAATGAAAGGTGTGAGTTTCAGTTCTCCACCTTTCAACTAACATTGTGATCAAATAATGATTTATGTCAATAATTCCAGTTGTCATTAATTGTCCAAATTCAGGTGGATTAAATTTTTAACCCGGTCATCCAATATTTGTGTATGTTTTGTTATCACATGTTATGTCGCCTAGGACGTAATAATCTTTCATTTCCTGCCCACAATGCCTTTGTTACATGTTTGTCCTAGAGATGCAATAAGGACATATTTGTAGGAAAATGATGATTAGAGGAAATCATTTATATAAATTACACATGTTAATTATGCTCTTCATATTATGCTACTCTTGACAGCTATATTCAACCAGAAGGACACTATTGCATGTGCTGAAAATACGTTACCCCTCTAAAAGAACAAAACAGTGACTTCCTCAATTATAAATGCTAGGTTACATGGAGGGTCCATGACTTACATGGAGATATAAATAATTTGATGGCAAGTCAAGAACTTCACTTACCAGCAAAACCCGTGAACGCATTAATATTACCTTTTAGTCATTTTCAATAGCATAATTATCAATCAAACTTTATGGTGACCACATTCTTCATTACTATCCCTAACATAACAAAGTATACTTTTCTCATAATAACACTTAACTACTACAATTTTTATTTTTTTTCATGTTGGAGTAATGCAAGTAAACATATGACAATAGTGGTAAGTATCCTTTATAGGAACAAAGTTAATTGATTTGAAATTGAAGAAAAAGTGGTTAATGCCTCCCTTAATGTAGGGGAGAGAGATTCTCGTGATTCAACCAAAGGATATTGTGATTCAACCAAAGGATATTGTGTTCAATCTTCACGCTGGTCATTGTAGCTTGCATTGAAATTGTGATAGCATGCACGATTTCTATATGCAATGATGAGAGAAAATCGTTATACAAGGGACAATTTTTCTTTGAAAATCGTCACAGTTCCTACGACTTTGTCCTTTGTCTCGACCTATTCTCGCGTCACCACACACGACTTCAACACATTTATTTATTGCTGAAGTCATTTTGCATGTACGATTTTGTATCATTTCTTATTTCACCACGAGTTAATTGCATGATATATAGACGGAATCATCAACAGTTCATTACAATTTTAGCTCAAATCAATAGATACAGATGAATAATTGTAATAACATTTCGAAGACCTATATAAATGCTTGAATGTTTTGTTTAAATCAAGTCATTACACTTTCCTATTTCTATTTATTGAAGTTTAATTTTATAAAGGTAGATATAAGTATATTTTATTTAAATTTTTTAATTAGTTACCTTTTATTAAATTTTATATATTATTTACATTTTGTAATTAAATTTTATATATTGTTTACATTTTTATTAAATTTTGTATATTATTAATCAATTACTTTTTATTAAATTTTATAAATTATTTATATTTTTTTAAGTAAATTTTATTTAAATTTTTTAGTCATTTACTTTTTATTAAATTTTATTAATTATTTATATTTTTTAGTCATTTACTTATTTTATTAAATTTTATAAATTATTTAAGTCAATTTTCTAATCAGCTTTTTTTTAATTAGATGGATAGATTTCAAGTTGGTACCTCATCCATGATCGTTAATAATCATGTTATTCAAGATATTGTTGAAGATTTTATTGATGAAGAAGAAAAGATTTTTTCATTGTTGTAATGCATATGATGATGATGTTATGACAACGGGTATCAATGGAGAGTTCGTGCTTCATACAGTAAAATTCGTACCCAATGGGAGATTAAGAAAATTGAAGTATCACATACATGTTTGAGTACAATGTTAAACCCAAATCATCAAAACTTAGATTCTTCTATCATTGCTAATATTATTTTTTGTTGGGATAAAGATATTTGATTAGCTAAATTATAGGTTTGTATAACGATATAAAATATTGTATAATCAAAACTTCCTTCTTTATTTAGTTCTGATTTGTTGGAGTAAAATACTATAAGATCATAGTATTTGTGTAAAAAAATAATATGAATAAAAATTATAGAATGAATTCTATGTTTTTCAATTTGGTATCAGAGCTTATAATTTTTTTCTTTTTCTTTCTAAATCCTTGGAGATCTTAACTGGAGAGATGACAGAAAAACTAATTCCAATGGTTGTTCAATCTAAATGTGTCTTCAACGTAATCATCCTAAATGAATCCAATTATGACGTATGGTCACAACTAATAAAGATGCACATTACAGAGAGGGAAAAATTGTCCTACATCAGTGAGAAGGTTAAGCCTGCAACAGAGAACGGTATGAGATATGAAAAATGGTATGCTGAAAACCAAAAAGTGAAAAGATGACTATAGATGTCCATGAAGCCAGAAATCATGAAAAGACATCTTCGCTTACCCACTGCCTTCGATATTTGGAATGTTTTGTCAAAGACATTTTATGATGGAAGTGATGAGCTACAGGTGTTTGCCCTGAATCAAAGGACATTCACTGCAAAACAAAATAATAGAACCTTAACTGGATATTATGGGGAGTTGGTTGAGATTTTTAGGGAATTGGATCATCGTGACAAAGTAGTCATGAAGGATCCTAATGATGTGAAGTCATATCAGAAGTCCATTGAAAGATTAAGGGTGCATATATTCATTGCTCGACTGGATGATGATTTTGAGCAAGTTGGTGGAGACATATTGCGCAAGGAAGTGACACCTGATTTAGAAGAATGTTATGCATTGATCCGGAGAGAGACAGTCTGGCGAACAACATTGAAAATAGAAGATATGATTTCTGATTCCACAGCTATGATAACAAAGAAGCAACCAACAAATCATCACAGCAAATCGAAGCAATCAAAAGATTTTGAAAAAGGTAACTACAAGTGTACTCAATGTAATAAGG